TCTCTATTCAGTTACAAGAAAAGTAGCCTGAGAATGTAAGTGGTATGCATTTGAGGTTACAAAAATTGAGGCACTCTTTCATAAAATAATACAGAATATGTTTTATATGTGGATTTATATCATTTATTTCATAATAAAATATGTTGGTGGTATTGGCGAGAAGAATGCCCTGGCATTGTTATTCCAGTGGAGGGGGCTATATGTAAATCCCTACAAACAGTAGGACGTCATTGCCCACCATGTTTTCTTCTAATGTAGATTTTCATGATCTCCTAGCCACATTTTCACTGGCAGTTGCACTTCCACTCTTATGACTAGACATGGTTCCACTTTTATTTTTAATTTAAAGCACAAATTTATAAAAAAAATAGCATAATATTAATATACACAATAAACCACTATAATGTACAGTGTACTGTATAGAGAATGAACATACCCAAATGCTGTGTTGCCATGAATAAATGACCAGGAACACTGCACAGGACCCTTTCTTGCTTGTGGATGGGAGAATTCTGGTGAAAACAAAGGAAGTAATTAACAGATTCCCAAATCAGTGCACATGAAACCATCGTGCCCCAAGGGCCCACTGTATATTAAGGGTGAAGTAGAATTTATGTAAATGCAGTGTGATGTCAAGGCATTGAGAAAACCACTTGAAAAACGTAAGTTTAAAGGATTCTTTCAGGCAGCAGGTTAAGTGATTTTCAAGGTTTCGTGCAGCATGGATTGGGGTGTTGCTAAAGCTTTGGATTATCATTTGTTTTTAATTATTCATGCCACTTCTCCCTCCCATTATGGGGGATAATCATGAGTTTGCTGTAATGTCAGTGGTTGCAGTCTTTCCAAATTTACAGCGTCCTATGGAACAGGATTTGGCCGGATGAGTTGCATAATTGGTTTAAATGATTTGCTGTTAGTATGGCCCAGCATTCAGACGGGTCACATGATTGACCATTGGTACTTTTGCAGCCTCTGTGTGTAACAGTCTGCACCTCTGAAGCTTCTCACACCACTAATTTAAGTGGGTTTGATAATGAACCTGTGCTACTGGTTTTGCTGTTATCATTAATGTGGTTGTGAAGAGTACATGTTCTTCGAGCATGGAAAAGTGGCGGTCTGTGGAAAGTGAACATGATTGACAGATGTGAGAGATGTATGAAATACTAGAGATACAAGAAGCTGTGGAGGTGTGATTTGTGATACATTTTTCCTTCCCCTGGTATGGCAACTAGGCGACAGGCTAGAAGACTAGGGTTCAATCCCCAGTAGAAGAGATTTTTCTCTTCTCCAAAGCATCCAGAAAAACAAGACTGTAACTGTCAAACACCAATAAATAGCTTGACACTAAGACTTACTGACTGACCGACCATCAGTCGCAATGTGACTTTAACTTTAAAGAGAGATCAGAGAAAACCAGCAGAGCCAAGGACTAACAACAAAGACACTCACTAAAAATAGTGGTGGAAGAGTGAATAGCCGTTGAAGATGAAACGTGAGAGACGACGGACCAGTCATGTTGCATCATCTGGAAGACATTAATTCAGAGTGATTGTAATCATAATTGTAAATGAGTCATCCAACAAACATCTTCGTCTAATCCAGAACCCATAAGTTTTTGTCAAGTGACAGTATTTAATGAATTTTATGTGGTAAATAACCTGCATTTAGTGTAAAATTCTGGACCTTCCTTAATGATCTTAGTGATATAGTGAAAAACAGCAGTCAGTATTCACGTTTTCTCTCCTAGAAATTATTGCACTGTAATCTTTGACCAGTGGCATCACCTGTGTAGTGCATAGTAGAACCACACCACATAATGGCATAGTTCTGATTCTGAATGGAGATTCATCAGTGTTTCATGTCAATTATTTTAGAGAGTAATTTGATATTTTTGACTATGCGTACGTGAATTCATTTGAGCACAGATAGTTTCTTTTAATTCTGTACCAAATGGGTTGGCATAGCAGTAACAGATTTGTTATGGTTTTCAGCAGTCTAGGTAAATTGTAGGATGGTACCTAGATTAAGCCACAACTGCTTCCTTCCAAATCCTTTCCAGTTCATCTGTCAGCCTATTGTTTGACACTGTATAGCCTAGCTGCTGACAGTACTTTAAAATAACTAATGCAGTTACATTATGTGTCATTTAATATAAGAAAAAATAATTACCAAGAGTTTTATTAAATAAGGATTTAATTGTATTAAGAGCGTTGTCCGCAGTTCCCAGTATGTTATGTACATTGTGTACTAGAAAAGGCAGGGTCACATATTCCATGCGAGATCAATGCAGAAAAATACAAAAATCATCTTCCTCCATCAGATTTTAATAAATTCATAGGGGAGGTGGTGTGACATGTACACAGGTTTAATAGTTGTATATATATATATATATATATGTTCTCTACAGCATCTTGGCAGGTTCTCTGAACCACCCAACCTCATGTCCAAGGGATATTTGGGGTCATTTCCCTGGGGACATAAGAGGTGGCTGTCTAGTGCCAAAGTTTAACAATGCTTGAAGCTATTACGTCCACCCTGCCATATTTAGGGTGTGTTCTTAAATATGTACAGGGGAAACTCGGTTTTTATGTTTAACATGCAGGATGTTCTACATCTTTATGTCATAACTTTGGTGGGTAAGGCTGACAACCTTGCCACCTTGATGTTTCACAATCCTTTTGGCCTTCGTGACCTGTTACAGGAGTACCTTTCATGTCATAAGTTATTCCTGAGGTTCAGAAGGAAAAGTACTGTATGGACATCACTGTGATTGTCACAGAAATGTTTCAGCTAATTTGCCTCTGATGAGAGGCTGAAATGCTTTGCTTTACTAAATTCCATTCTTTACCATCCATCTCTTTGAATGCTGAGCATCTTCAAGTGGTGATTCCATTAACTTACAGCAACTGTAGCAGCACTGTCTTCCATCATTTCTTCTTCCTCTTCTGATTAGTCTCTCTCATTTGGCATGCCTTGAATCCCTGTCCTGACAGGTTGCTGAATTGAAACTTCACAACATTATGCAACACTTTTCCTAGTTCCAAATTGGAGAGCTTTGGTCATCTCTGAAAGCACATTTTGTGTTTTCAGCAGCTCTTGGTAAGGTGAAAGTTAAAGTTGTCCATGTGCTTAATTAAGCACTACACCATAAAGATGTATGGGGAAGTGGAGGTGAGTGGTCAACCTGGCCATTTTACTCTTGAAGAAAGAACTTGGGGTACCCATTGAATAGGAGGCTGGGCGGACCTCAGAGCCAATGTAGATGCTGTGGAGTAGGGCAACTTATTTTGACCCTGCTGGGATCAATCTTCATTGGGTTCATGTCTGTGATATGTATTATCACCTTGCTTTAAATAAGAGAAGGAAGATTGTGGTGTTTAGGCTATAACACCACACAGTTTTGTTAATGGATACCGATGATTTTAGGAACATCCTGCTTCCATCTTCAGGTTTGTTGTATGTAGCTTCAGGAATACCCTTGGCTGTAGAGACCCGTTACAAGGAAGGTGTTTGTGGCTCCTAAGGAGCAGGGGTAAAGAAAGCAACCCAGTTGGGTCCAGTGGGAAGAAATGACAAAAAGAACACTTAGTGAGGGGCACATTGATTTATCATCACAGGTGTAAAATAGAATAGTGATGAAGAACAAGTCTTTCAAGAGATCCACTGTTGTTTTCAAGAATGGTGTGAAAGTTAGACAGAATAGTCCTTTTCAGGACCGCCATAAGGTTTTCTCACAAGGAAGTTTGAACTGAGAATAGCCTTTTTCAGGGCTCCAGTGAACAGTAAGTTTGAAGTGAGGAATCGGCTCTGGTCCCACCCATCAGGGCCATAGAGGAGTGGCATGTAGGAGGAAGTAACTGTTTTGTTCTTGGAGAGGATCTTTTACTTTCCCTTCTAAGACAGGTTGAGGCCTCCATGATCTGCTTTGAGAGAACATGGCCTCCATCTTTTTGTTATTGGCATATATATTAATCTTTTGTTTCCCTTATGATCCTGTCCTGTGCCTGACTTCTTAGCAAGGTGTGTGCTGTTCAAGTGTTCAGAAAATCCTGAAGTCTTTCTGAACCTTGGGACCAGATCACAAATGCAACTTCCAGTTTGCCATTGAGATTCAGATATTGGCCACCTCCTTTTCTTGCTCAACACTGCCTGCAGAAGACCACATGGTTCCTTGGGTTGTCCTGAATACAGGAAGGGGAGCTACACTAACCTCTCCCTGAATGCAGAGTCATACCATCACCCAGTAAGCAAGTAGTCATTGATGTCCACCTTGGCATACTGGACCGAAGCCATTTGTGAACATTGTAATCTCTAAGCTGAACTACATACTCAGAAAAAGAACCCTCTGTTAAGAGAGTATGTGAGCTCTGAACCCATCATAAGCTGGACCTCCTAGACAGGATTGCAATCACTACTCTGAAGAACTTAAAAAAGTGCAGGAACTCATTTCTCGATGTATATTGACTGGTCTTTTTTGCTCATTTAAGTGAGTGCTATACATGGTATAGAATCTGAAAGCTCACAGTAGTGCTTCCTCTGGATGGATGGATTATTATAAAAAGAATCCTGGGATCTTCATATTGTGAATTTCCCTGTATATGCATACTGTTGTATGGCCTAGAGCAGGCATGTCCAACACGTCGATTGCAATTGACCGGTCGATCGAGGGACTGTTTGGTTGATATAGGCCTATAAGGAAATTATACATGAAAAGCATGTAAATTCACATGTAATATAAAATAAGAAAGAGATCATAGCTACTATTCAAGATCTTTAATTATCAAGACGCACCATTGTGCGACGAATAGAAATGATGTGTGGAAACATAACTGAACAGTTGTTGAAAGACGTTTCCAATTGTGTTGCTTTCTCCCTCCAACTGGATGAATCTGCAGACATCAGAGAGACAGCCCAGTTACTAGTTGCTTTTACATCATGTGTCATATTATTTTTACCAATATTTTTGCTTAAAGTGAAGTACAACAATAGGAGGGGGTGGTAGATCACTGGCAGTTTTGACACTAAAAAGTCGATCACAACCTGTTTGAAGTTGGACATGCCTGGTATAGAGTATCCATAAAATGATGAATGAAGCTGCTGTATTTTGAATGAGCAACATTTTAACTTAGCTCATAAATTATGTTAAATGTATGTGCTGTGTGAGTGAAGTTAAATTAATCTTGAATGTAACAATCCATCAACATTCTTCAGGTATTGGGATATTTTGAGAATATAAATTTCTGTTCAGAACTGTGGGTTTTCTCTGTGGAAGTACAGGGAAATTCCTACAATATAAATCTCAGGGTGTACATCTCTTATTAGTCACTGGGTTAACAGAAAATTACCATGGATATTTTCAAGCAGAACTGACATTTAGAAATTGTTCTCTCGTAATTATGTTTGGAGCCCATATAACATGAGTGTACATTCAGATGCAAGTGTCTCTTGTGGAGTCAGATGAGTGGGTTATGCATGCACTGTATTCATATTGTGCATATATTCTGGACCCATTGAAAACGTAGTAGAGTAATTTGCATTTTGAGAACTCATTTGTATTGTAACACAGTTTATTAGCACAGCAAATACACATTTAAATTCTGTATGAATTGTGTAATTACATGATATTTGAAGCTGGACATGAAGGTATTCAGTAGCCACTATCTGGATGCCACCAAACTTTGCACTAGTGAGAATCCACATATGATGGTTTCCATCTAACACAGGTGTGTCATGTATGTTCCACCACTTCTGTGAATGGTGATCATACACATTCATCACGTTATTCTTATTAGAAGTGAACAGGAAGATGCTCCATTGTGAGTTACCTAAAAGGAATTCCTTTACTTACATCGTAATGAGTTTATTTTAGATCTAAGGTTCTTGAATCGTTATCTCCATCGGCCTCAACAAGGACTTCAAGCCCCAAGTTGTAACAGGAGTATCAGCATCACCACAACAACACAACGTATTATTTCACAAAAATAAAGTAAGCTGGCTGCCACCTACCCGGTCAAGAATGGGGACATTAAACAAGAAGAAAATGTTCATAATATGCGTGAAAAGTCAGGTAAAAATAACTTATTCTATGCTGCGGGCTACCATGGGAGGTATCCATTATACCGTTGTTTGTGGGGCTTTTTTTGCTTAAAGTACTTTTAAACTGAACAAAATTAAATTGATAAAAACGTATCACCTAAGTACGTCATCTGCACGTAGCTGATGACTAACAGTTTCCCCCCCACCATTAATACAGTTAATGCAGAACCCGACAGGATTGGAATATACCATGTTGTGAAGGTCGATATTACGCCGCTGTACCAGCTGACAAAACTTGCGATACTGAAAATGAATAGATGGAATTTTGGACACTTTCCTTTCCTCTGTATAATTCAGGTTTTGGGGTGCAATTCATGTAAAGCGGAAATGTTTTTATTGAAAATTGGAACATGAGATGTTTGGCCTATTGTATGTGAAAAATAAACTTTAAGTTGTAATTGTGTAGTTTCAGTGTCTTGAAATATATTTATTTGGATTTTAATGAGTGTACTTTATTTCTTTTCAGAATGTCAACTTCATATTGGTGAATGTGCTAACAGTCCTTAAGGTTCCGTGGACTTCTACTGCTGGTTAGATTGGTAATGTTACTTCCTCACGTTAAATCTTCATATGTTTTTAGTTGCCTATGGAGATGGAGTGTAATCACTGTGGGCACTCCACTGAGCAAAAGTACTTCACAAAACGTTGTAGATCTCTGGTAACTTTGGCATAGCCATCTTCCCGTTTGGATTTTCGTGTAGGATTCCCTGTAATTCTGCTACTCCTCTACTTTTCAGTAGCAAGGTGATTTTAGACTCCGCTTTTCATTGGTGCTCTTCAGTGTTGTGATGTACATGCTGTTATTTTGGTTGCATATATTCCTGGGTTCTGCATATTTAAGCTGGTATCTTTTACATGCATGTGGTGTATACATGTATCTATTTTTGGAGTCAGCCAAAACCGTTGTACATTTAGTTTTCTTCTTAATGAGTACATTGAATTCCATGATTGATTCTTTGAGGGATATGTGCAGACACATACATGAGGAAAACTTTAAACGGAGAAAGTATGATGTACAGTTGAACTCTGATTGTAGAAATTCTGCACTTAATAAACAGTAAATGAGGACCTTGCCTTTATGTGAAGTGAGCAGAAAGACGTATTTCCTTTAGGTTAAGTTTATATCAGTCTTGTTTGACATATTACCGATTTAAGGCTAACTTGGTAGATATTGTTTTGTGCTTTTGCTGTTGCTTCAGTGTGTATTCTTATTCGTTTCCTTGCTCTAATAATTGTAACATTAGAGTTAAGCTGCTTAAGATTTCTGCAACAAGTAGTGGTAATTTGACTGTAATTAGACAAGTAGAATATCTGAAATATTCTGATTTGCTACATTCATGATGTTAAACTTATTTCCACTGTTACTTTTGCTTAGTGCCACTAATGGTTTTTACTGCATTTTGGGCTCCATTTGCACCTCACATCAGGGAATCAAGAAATCTGATGAATTGTTGTGCTGTATACTTGAATAGCTGAAAAGAAAACAAGTGCTGTGAAGTGTAACAACTAGTTTCTATATAGTCTTCTAAATTATTTCATGCATGCCATAAGTGGCACAGAAAAGGGACTGTTGAGCAGTGAAGTACTGAAAACATATTAATTGAAATTATTTAACTGTTTATCTTAAATTAATAAGGTCATCATGTGGATTGTTTTGAGCCAGGCATTGTGACGGAAGTCACGAGTGTACTGTATACTGTGTGACATTTAGATTTTAGTTCTTCTGTTATGCAGTAATGTAACAAATTTTGTGCCAGTCCCCAGATATCTGGAATTTCTTTTCTAATCATAAGCTGGATGTGAAGAATTTTGTTATTAACCATTTAAAGCACAGTTGTCACCAGGTTTAATGTTGAAAAGAACTCAGCATTTTAAATTATTTCCATAAGAGCACTAACAAATTTGGTCTTTATTATGGGTGAATTTATAAATGTTATGTACGAGTAGAAGATATTTGTGCTTCTAATGGTAAAAACATTCCAACATTTTTTCCACTGCATTTTTGAATGAACACTGCTGATTGCTATCTTTCCTTGTCTTGCATGCCCCTGGAATTGCAGAGTTTATCACCTTGTTGGTAATATGGCTCTTGTCCCCCCAACTTCCCCAACACTAAACTTTGGGTGTAATGGCTGGCTGAGCTCCACCTTTATACCTGGTAGGAAGTGTGTAGTTTTCTGTGGCATGAACAGCATGTTTTATGTGTTTGTTCATGTATCATGTATGTTAGGGTTTTAAGTGAGAAGATGTTGAAAATCAGGCTTGGTAAGACAAAAATTATTTTTTTGTCGTCATGAGTATGTATGAAGGCATCATGCCTTGAGTAGGCAACCTTAAGGAAGAAAAGTCCCATGTGTTAAATGAAACTCTGGCTTGTTAATTTTGGATCCCATTGTGCTTTGAAAATATATTCTTTCTAATGATGATAAAACATCTGTGTCATTATTTGATTATGACAAGCCATCAAAGACCCATTTTACATTTTTGGGCATTCATCGTAAAAAAATATTTTGAATATGTTGGCTTTGGAGGAAGATCAGGTAGTTGTTTCGCATAATGTTTCATGCTCACATGACATTGCTACTTAAATCTCAGCTGCATCAGGATATATTTGTTTCTTTGTCCCCCCACCCCACCCTTGGCTTTGCAAAGTTATGACTTTGAAACTGAACATTACCACTCTTATCATTTCTTAATTTACCGTATATCATACTCAGAATCTTGTCTGGAGCTATATGGGTAATTATGTTCCTGCTTTCTTGTTTGTGACTTTCCTATTTGTTGACCTTGGTGGTATTATGAAAACACTGCGGGTTGGATAGTCTAATGTTTTGTAACTTTTCCAGGGCCATTCTAAGAGGTTAGGACAGCTGTGCAATCATGACATGTCTGGTCTAAGAGGTACTGGAACCACATTCACAGTGAGTATGGTGTACATGTGACCTCAGGCACTCCATTGTGAAAGAATATTCAAAGTGGGACATGAAAAAAAAGAAGATATTGATGATGTTAGGACAAACTGCTGAGGAGAATATTAGGGCCTGAGAAAGTTGGAGTATGGGGGGAATGGAGAAAGTTGCATAGTTCACATTTTGTACCCTCCTAATATTGTCAAGATTATTGAGTCAAGAATGAGGAACTGGTATATGTTTGCTACCAGTAGAAATCCAAAGTATAGCAACTTCCAAATCAAAGAGATGCTTTGAAACCATAGGTTTAAATGGGACAATTTTATTCAAATGGTGCCTTCATAAATTGATTGTGGGGATGAATTGTTTTCAGCTGTTTCAGCATATGGTACCATATTGGATTTAGTTGGTTCTAGAAAAACTCAGCTTCCCATTCATCTGAATAACTGTCAATTGTCAGAACAGACAGGAGCTGGAGAAGATGGTTCTTGAACTTAATTTCACTTTATCGGCCCAGTGCTCGTTTTGAAGTGTAAACAAGTTTAAACAAGTATGCCAGGCAGCACATTGGGTCACATCACCTTTATGTGACAAAAGTTTCAGACATGGCAGCATCAGAAATGAGTTTTGGTCTCGTTTATGAAGTGGATAACAAGTGATTGTGCTGCGAAGACCACAAAAACATTACGTGACTTGCATATACTGATGGAATTGGTATGACTGCAGGTTTCAAATGATTTTATTTACTTCTTAATTTTTCTAAATTTTTACACTTTGCAGTCATTGGAAATGGAGCACAACCTGATAGCTGTAACAGTCATCTTTATAAGGTTGGACAGGTCTTATTGTTTGGGTGCGAAGTTCTATCCTATATGTAATCCATAGAAGGAAGTTTCATTTGATCAAATGATATTTGCCTGGAAAGGCAGATGCATATTTCATGAGTACATGCCTAAGAAACCGAAGATATGTGGTACAGATTTAAATTGTTCAAGAATCTTAAAGGGTCTAATTTAAACGTACACAGTGGGAAGCTTTCGTAAAGGATTCTATTGTGACTCCTTGGAGTCATACTTCATAATAGACAGCACATGTGGCAGTTTAACTATTATAATACAATATAATAGTGTCTTAGCCTTTTACAGTGAAACATTTATGTATGCTACATTTTGGTTGGACAGAGGTGCCCTAATGGGCACAGAAATTCAACAAAAGAGACACTTTTCTTTTTCTTATATGGAAATGTCATCACATGAGGCCTGCAAAAATTCTGAGAACTAAGAAATTGACAGGAAAGATGGAAATCAGGTATTATCCCTGACTTCACCACATACATGTGGAATTGACTGATCAGAGGGTGCAATACTACTCACCAACAAAAAAAGAAGTTCATGAAAGCTGTTCTTCCTACTGCATATGCATATTTGAAGTTTTGTGCATTTTATATAATTTGCACACAAAAGATGAGACCATGATGGTACAGTTGAACTAAGACTTCCTACTGTAATGTAATAAAGTTATGGTGTCCACACTTCATGGAAAACCCGGAGAGAAGGTTGGACCAAACATGCTGGCATGCAGACCGCCTTTGAGATGCCATGAGTGCACAAGTTCATGCATGTGCCAGAAACTAAAGGAGGAGGGAGACAGTGGTTTGAGCAGGGTGGAGTTGTCTGGTATAAAATTTCATGCATCAGAGAGTACCAGATGAAGAGATTGTGCTAAACATCTGTGTACAGCACATAGATTCAGTATTGTTAATTAAACATTTGTTTTCAGTATGGTTATTTTGTTAATTTTATTTCTAATAGGACATACCTGACGATGGAATACTCGTGTGGATAATATTTCTTGGTGTCACAGTTTCAACTCTGCTTGTTCGTATGTGGTCAAAAAAGTTTCAAATGTCGGGTTCTTTGTCATTAATATTTGTTTTTAAAGAACAAAAAACATAAACTTGTCTTGATAAAAAATATTTTCTTTGGTGGAAATTAAGTTTCTAGACTGTTTGAAGTGATTCAGTAGTGTGTTCATACTCTTACAAATTAAAACATTATCAGTGTTTTAAGGCCGAAGATCTCGTGATAGGAAGCAAGACCTTGGTTAGATAACAGTACTATCATGTGTATTAGTGACTATAGACAGGGTTCAGATTGGTAATTGGATTTATTAATAACCTACAGTTGTAACTAGAATTAATTATTACACTATTGCTGCTCTACACAATGCAAAATATCTCCACATGAATCTCTTCAGTCTCACTGAATCACACACTCCAAATAAAGCCTTCAGTTCGCACAGTAAGTCTTCACTGGCTGACTTCTCAGCTGTCACTCACTATCACTGACTAACACACTCAAAAAGCCTTCCGTACGAACCTCCCGTGGCTGTCTCGCACTGAGAACTGACTGAATCACTAACTTCTTGGGAATTCCAGTCTCTCCTATTAAACCCTCAAACAGACACGTGGAAAACACAGCTTGCTCCCCTGTTGCGTAATCATTGTGTCTACAGAGGCATTGCCCAGCAACTTGTCAATTAGCTGCTGTAGAGATATCTTTACTGTGGCACGGCATGGCACTGAGAAAACACCTCTTTCCTTATTATGGGGTAATCACCATGTTTGCAGATTTCTGTGGCTCAGTAATTGCACGGTGTAGATACTCCACAGTACATTTTATATCTGGGTTGGAGGGGAAGTTCTGCAATCAGTCGATTGATTGAAGGGAGGGTGATATCTTTTCCAGTATCTGGTTACATAAGACAGAGGACAGTTATCAGAAAATGGGTTTGAAAATTGCAGGTAATATAATTTCTTCTTGTTACAACATAAAATTACTGTAAAGCCAATGTAGCAGGTGCAGCTGATAAAATTCAGGTTCATTAGACTTGAGAATTTTGTTTTTAAACATTTTCTATCGTTTTCATGCATTTCCTAAGAGTATGACTGCATCATATAATGGCATTGTCATCTGGAATAGCTGGGCATGCTTTTCTGAGTCTTGTATCAACGTGTACCATGTGGTATGGAACACATATTGCATTTTCAGGTTATCACTGAACTCTTAAAATTCTGTCTGTGGTGGTGCTACTGTTTATGTGGAAAGTGGCTACCTGTTAACACTTTAAATTTGGCCATAGACATCTCCCTACAATAGCATCATAATATTTTAACTCTTCAGTATCTCACAAATGCTAGTTTTATAGTTCAGTAGTAAGGTCTCTGCTTAATAGCAGTGTGAAGTCATACTGTCTACAGTCAGGTACTTCATTTACTATGCATGGCAATTTTTACACAAGAATTGAACTCATTAATTTTTTCCCGTGCCCCTTTAAACTGGGTATTTAAATGTCACCGGCTACAGGTTCTAAATGAATGCACGGAAGCTGCCATTGCCAGCAATAGGGTAACGCAGATTTGTATTTGAAACAAGTTTCACTGTAGTGAGTTTTCATTGCAGTGGCCATTCTTTCTCTGTCAGAATACATGAAATTTTGTTTATGGATCCTCTACCTCAAGTGGGTTCCATTAACCTTTCAAGGAAGATCAGAAGGTCTTTTCTATCCTGAGCCAACACTATTCAAAATCTCATTTGACTGCCCATGTGTTAATGCTAAATAATTCCAATACTCAGCCTGTTCAGAGCGTTTTGAATTCAAACTAACCATGCTATGACCAAAATATGCTTTCTGTGCTTACCAAACTTTTAATCACTTTAATAAGAAATGATGTAAGTGGAAAGTTGATTCATGAGAACTATATGGCTGTTTGGTGAATTTGTAAAATTCAAGAAACAAGTTACTAAAGTTCTGTATTGATATAATTTCGATTGAGGTCAATGACAAAATGGTGTTCAGGAAGTAGACAGTGTTATTAGTATAATAACCAAGTTCCACTACATTTTACAGGGATTAGATAGATCTTACAAAATGGATTTATGTTTGGTTTTTCAGAGCAGATCAGTTTGGTACATCAACCTTTGGATGGTCACAGGTGTGATAACTGGTTGTCATCCTTGCAGCTTCCGTTTCTCATACAAGACTGCTATTTCATACATGTGAATGAAATGATATTTCAGTAATGCTTCATGCGAACAATTTATGTTTACTGTGTATGTTTGTAGACATTTTATGACTGTCTTGTATTTATACATTTTTCACTTTTTAATTAAACAGCTGCAAAGTATCCGAAATAGAAAGTATCTTTGAAAATTTCACTCTCCTTATCAACTACCATGATGTCATAAATAGAAAAGATAGCCATCTCTGGAGGTATGTAGTTCTACATGTTCATCTTGCACCAGATGGAGGTGTACAGTCAGCTTCATATATTTGCTTTGCTCTCATGGGAGGACCCACAGCTTACCATAGAATGAGAGTCATAAGAGGGTCCCAGTGCCAGTTGGAAGCAGTAGCAGAAAGCAAAATTCTCTTCTCTACCAACAATGAAACCCTGGTTGGTCAGTCTGTAGCCTCGTCACTGTACTGACACCTGTTGTCTGAAACATCCTTGAGGGTGTGGCATCATTTGGTAACTAGTTTATTTGCATCATCATCATCATCAGAAAGTTACCACACTTTTGTTTGCCCTGTTTTATTTGTAGCCTACAGTAGGAACCAAAGTCATCACACTGGAGATTGCATTCAATTCACCAACTTTTCATCCGTAAGGTTGCATGCTGAAAGCTTCATGCACACCCAGAGGCGTTTTAGTTTAAGTATACCTCCATGTCAGGAGTAGGAAGTTTTCTAAATTGAACACTTGCAGCGGTGATAATGAAGTAGAGGTGAATTGTTCCTTGGATGCAAAATACAGGGGGAGCTGGTAGAAGAATATTAAAGAAAATGGAGGGAGCACTCAGAAAGAACGCACGAATGAAACTTGTAGACTACATATGTAACTAGAAGCAATTCAGACAGGTAGTTTATCAGTGATAATCAAGCCATAACTTTCTCTTCATATATTTTCTGTTACCCATGCCCTGCTCTGTGCTGTTAATATTGCTTTATTGGGTAGAAACACAAATACAGTGAAACTAGTAGAATGAATATAGTTTGTAAGGAATACTTGTAGCGACAAAAATCATTTTGTAGCACCCACTGTTCTACCATGTCTTGTTGCATCAAATACATTTGCACTTTGCTTTTGTAGTTTGTTATGGCCAGCAGCCCATAAATGTCCTGTAACCTACACTGTGTCGTACCAATGTCTTTGGAGAAAATTTGCATTCCAGAATTCTGAGCAGCTCACACTTTCCCGTGAGAAATTACATCCCACGCATTATCCCCACCTTGTCGCATGGGTTTTCCTGTTCCCCTGAGCTTGAGAGGAAATGTAATGTCATAGATCGCAGCTGTGCAGGTTAAAGTTTAAGGTTTTTTCATGCCAGATATCTGCTGTGTTTTGGTTGGTGCTGACAGCAAAATTTTGAAAACCCAAAATTATGTAACTTGAAATAACGTGTGTATGAAATAGGCAACTCAAAAAAGGAATGTCGCTGTTCATGATATTAAAGAATAAAATTAATATACAGTGTATACTAAAGCTAAGCAAATTAACATCATTCCTTTTTTTAGTGAATGCATATTGATGAATTTTGTTTTACAGCCTCAGTTTGTAACGAAATTTATAAGTGTAGTAACAAAAATGTGGCATTTAGTAGAAGGAACAGTTATGGATCCATGTACGAGGGGGGACCCAAAAATAACCAGAAACGACCTGTTGCGCGCGCATGCCTTGTAGTTACGAGTTGTGCTGCTAGGTGGTGTTAGCTGGGGGTCTCCCGCGACTGTTAGTGAGCTGGTGTCAGTCTGAGTTAAGTGGTTTGTCTGTGGTGCTCTGTTGTGTGCGTTCCTGTTTCAACCCTTTGGCGATTAGTGAGATGGCCGACCAGAAGGAACAAAGAGTGTGCGTGAAATTTTGCTTTCTGTTAGGGAAAACTGCAGCCGAGACTGTTGGGATGCTTCGGCAAGCCTTTAATGATGATGCTTTGGGGAAATCACAGGTCTACGAGTGGTTTTCCCGTTTCAAATCTGGCAACATGTCAACAGAAGACATGCCACGCCCCGGGCGTCCTTCGACAGGAAGAAATGACGAAAACATTGCCAAAATCAAACGTGCAATTGATGAAGATCGTCGAAAGACCATTGACCAACTTTCTGAGGAAACGAACATCTCATGCAGCACGGTCCAGCGAATTTTAACCGAAGGTTTGCACATGAGACGGGTGTCTGCAAAATTTGTTCCTCGCTTGCTCGGAGATGACCAAAGAGAAAACCGCGTGAATGTTTGCCGCGACTTGAAGAGTGAAGTGCAGTTTTCCCTAACAGAAAGCAAAATTTCACGCACACTCTTTGTTCCTTCTGGTCGGCCATCTCACTAATTGCCAAAGGGTTGAAACAGGAACGCACACAACAGAGCACCACAGACAAACCACTTAACTCAGACTGACGCCAGCTCACTAACAGTCGCGGGAGACCCCCAGCTAACACCACCTAGCAGCACAACTCTTAACTACAAAGCATGCGCGCACAACAGGTCGTTTCCGGTTATTTTTGGGTCCCCATTCGTACAGTTTATGTGCCACTCCCATAACATGCATTTTACAGTGGGTGATTCACAACCATTTCTTACACATGTAACGTGTATTACAGTCACATTTGTCAACCTGTGCCATAACTGTCAAACAGTAATAAATATGTGTATGGGGCTAATGGACCTCATGACCCTTAATTTCAAGAATAAAATGTCTATGGCTGTGGTGTTATTGGACATTAAAAATGCCTTTGACACCACATGGCACTCTGGCTTGCTATATAGGTCCCCAAAATTGGAATCTTCAGCCAACTTGATCAAGTTCATCGACTCTTTCCTCTCACAACGAAAATTCAGTGGAAGATGAAATGTCTGTGCCAAGGGAAATGCAAGCAAGGGTGCCACAAGGTTTGATCCCTCCTGTCCCCTACTCTTTTCAATTTGTACATAAATGATTCCCCCCCCCCCCAAACACATGGTGTTCATCTAGCCCTCTTTGCAGACAACACTTGTCTGTATGTGACAGATCACAAGGAGGGTTTTGTCCTTAGAAAACTCCAGCGCGGTCTCAGCTCAGTGGAGACTGGTGTGAGCGCTGGAATATCAAAACTAATGAAGATAAGACTCAGGGAATACACTTCTCTCTGTCTCATCTTACATTGAATGGAAAAAATATTCCATTTGTAAATAGTGCAAAATATCTCGGTGTAATCTTTGATAAGAGGGTTACATGGAGATTGTACATAGAAATGATAGAAGCCAAGGCCTGCAGGACATTTATTAGAGTGTATACCCTATTCAAAAGTGCGTGATTAAACACCAACATTAAATTGACCCTCCACAAAGCTCTTATTAGATCTGTAATGACATACACTAGTCTTGCCTGGGAATTCGCAGCAGATACCTATCTAATGAAATTGTAGCACCTGCAAAACAAGATTCTCCACACCACTGGCAATTTTTCAAGGCGCACACCGGTTTGCGATTTACATATGGCTTTCAAAATTCTTTACATGAATGATTATAACAAAATTGTGCAGGCAACAATAACAGACATGTTCCCAGTATTGGACAAGGCGAAGCCTGACATAGAAAGTATAAGAGGCTTAAACTTGGCAGCGGTCAAGCACACAACCGTTCAAGTAACTAGACTGCCGTTATAGCAGAAGCTACTAGAAATAGGGCAAAATCTGTTGTACAGAGCCTGGACTGACAGAGGCCCTGTATATATTGTATATACATTTTTAACAATGTAAACATCTTTTACATTGTGACAAAAGACAGACCCGTCCTCATCAGAGAGGGTGCCCCACATAAATAAGGCTGTAACTCTCAGTAATAAATATCTGGTCATGAGCTCCAGATGGGGCTGGACACCAAGACAGACTGACTGACTGACTGACTGACCATCACTCACAATGTGACTTTTGACTTGAACTGACAGTTCAGTTGGAGGAGTAGTGTGAGCAGAAGTCGAGTGTGTCCAGTTGAAGATAGTGGTTTCTGAAATGTTAACAACACGTTGTATAAATGTCCAATAAATTTGATCATAAAATCCAAAATTTGTTTTATAAGTCACGCAAACCCCTAATATATGACAATATTATCATCCAGGCTACACCCCAGTACCCAAGTGGTTTCTTCCCTTGTGGTTTTCTCTTTAAAACTTTATATTCATATCTCATTTGCCCCACATATGCTTTTGCACCCATCATACTTCCCTTGATATGAACACCTTTATTTCCACATAAAAATGCATATTCTTATTCTGTTCCAATGTCACAAATATCCCACCCACATTACCTCCTTCATTAATTCTTTTGATAAGGACTTCAATGACCTGCTCAATTCTTAAGTCCTTTTTCTGTTGTTTAAGGCATGCCTAAAATGTGCGTGCAATTATGAGGCTCTTATAACATTTTCATTTTTGTAGCAAAGGGTTGATAACCTAATCTCCAACCTACAGGGCTACTTGCTGGCTGTTCAAAACCGTTCCTTCAATATATTTGCAGCCGCCCTCGACATCTGCAGTCTGAATATGCCATGCTGAAGTGACAATGGACCCACTTGCAACAAGTAATGAGCCCACATTATTATTATTATTGGAGGGGGTGGGTTTCCCCATGCACCGCGACTAATAGTCTATTGTACGTCCCCCTTTGATATTCTACCAGTCTCCATACCCTGCAGGTACTGGTGCTTGCTATCAGCCCCGTTCAGCCAGCAAGGCTGGCTGCGGTACCTGATGCTTCCTCATCTACCGGAGGCTTTGGAAACTACTTGGGCGGGAAACTTTTTACCTAATTTAGCTGAGAGGTCTCCTAGAGACATGAGGATCTTTTACGTGCTGTAAATCTATGACACGGGACCCATGGCTTAAAGTCCCTCCTGGAGGACTTGTTCCCTGAATATTTCTGCCCTTAAAAATTCCACAACCTCTGCCGGGTTTGAACCCACGTACCTTGAGTCATGAGGTGGGAACGTTACCCCTAGCCTACAGAGGCCGCTATGAGCCAACATTACTCTTTATTTCCTATTAAATGTTGTGCTTGTATTTGTTTTAAATTTGAAGTTGGTTGGGGCATTTTTTCTTCTTAATTTTTGTTTCCTGGTTTCCTCCATTTTAGGCATGTGTTATGGTCATAGATCTAACTTGAAACTGAGAAGCATATTGAAAGTCCTGTTTTCTGAATGTAATTCAGTAGAAGTGTGCCAACATTTCAGAGGAATATGTCGTTTCCACCTTCAAGATGAATGAGTATACCAAGCAAGAAAGCAGCAATAAGAGGTGGCAAGCCTGTTTACTGTTGGTTTCTTACTTGCAATGAAATGGGCAGCATGTTCCTCCAAAACATCAGGCTTTCCCCGGCATTAAAATCCAGATCATGTTCTTCATAATCACTGAAATATACCATGAGTAGCAGAGTAGTATATGTTTTCCAGTCTTCTTCATCCAAAATTCAGACATTTTAAACTGCATCTCAGTATGGAGATAAAGAGGGTTGAGCAAAGAAGCAAATTAGCATTGTTTTTATTATGTATTTACAAAGGTTTATGAAACAATTGGTTAAGTTCTTCAGCACTGGTATAATCATCTTTGTAAAACAGTTTAAAGTATTGGTAAACTTGTTCGGTAACAATAATGGTATATATTATGCTTCAGAATTGACACAACATTCAGGAATGCAAAGTTTGTACATTGAGTTAAATGGTCACATGTAACATCTAACCAAGTGGTTCAGCCTCCACTAAAGTAATTGTCAGATCAAGGTTTTTCTGATGAACCTCATAACGAAGTTCCTTAACTTGCACAGATGTAATGTTGGCACTCTCCACAACAGACATTACTGTTAGTTTGGGGCAGTGTTCAATTAAGTAGCGAATTGTGGCTATGGATATCTGCCTTGTGTGCATGTGAATTTCTTTCAATTCCTGCAGGGGGTTTGTGCTGATAATATTAGCCATAACATCATCTTGGTCCTTCTGGGAGAACATGTCTGTTACAAAGAGTGTTTCCAGGTGTTTGGCTTGCAGCAGACACAGTGGCAAAACTTCTGCTAGGTTCCAATTCCATCCATCCAGGTGTAGACAATGAAGGTTGTGGAAAATATGCTGTGTGTGAAACAGCTTGTAGGTTTCAAGGCTGCTTGACTGATTGACATCTCTCAATGGCTGCTTCAGCTGCAAGTTTCTGAGGCTCAGGCATGTCTGACCAATGAGATGCACTGCCCTCAGAGAGATATAATCTGTACTTTCAACTTGGAGGCTCCTCAGAAAATTTCCCTTCCTTTCCAGTAAACGAGCCATTTCAATGCAGAATGGAAAATGGATGAGTTCAAGAATGGGTACTCTGAGGCTGCTATTGGCCAATGACTCCAGTATCTCTTTGGCAGTGCAGACAGTGGATTGGTTGGGGAAATGCAGACAAAGATGCTGTAGGCTGCAACAGAGTTGTGCTGCTGCCACAATGTTTGTCGGTCTTGGGTGAAAATCACAGAGATGTGTGAGCTGCAGCTGCTGCACATCCTCCATCTGCTCAGAAATCACTAGGCCCATGTCATCATATGTTATGTTCTGGAGGTATGGCAACGACTTTACTAGAGCCCTTATCCCTGCTACAGTCATCATACATCCACCTGAATGGCTACGAAGAATCCTATTCATTGTCACCTTCCTGAGAAGCCTGCAATTGCGCAAGTAAAACAGTCCTACATCTGAAACGAAAAACTTCAACTTGAGCGCATTGAAAGCTTTATCCATCTCATTTGTGGTGTATACCAGTCCCAACTTTGATACAATGTTTATCTCCTCCAGTCTGTGACAGTTTGTTCCTACAGCTTCCAGAATGTCATCTGTACATACGCGATATAAAACCAGCACCACCAAGTTATGCATCTGTATTAGACGTTCAACCAAAAACTCTGAATGAAAGTCAAATTTAGGGTATACTGACCAGGTGCAAACACTGAACTTCCTCATATTCCTATGCATATAGAGTGCTAGAGGGATTCGAAGATCTTGTTTCGTGTGGCTTCCAGCAGTCTCCACTTCAATCAGTTCATCCAGAATCATGCTTGGTATGTTCGACAGGAGGTACTCCTGAAGTATTAGCACCTGCTGTCGACAGTCACTCTTATCGTAATTCCCATAAGTTTTCTCTATGTTTCTACATGAGAGATCCAGTAGTTCTTTGACATGTGTTAAGGTGGCCTGGAAAAGGCTTCTTGGCTGTTTACAGGGAGGCATGATGTCACTGCATGGATGTCACCACCTTTCTGGAAAGTAAATTATCATGCCTAAGAACATATACACACTCTGAATGGTTCTCATGCTACCTCTGACTGCAGAACCTACTGACATCCTGAATTATAAATCCTATTTAAATTGGATCCTAGGTTCTCTGCAGAATGGAAAGTTAAAGTAGCTGTGAATTTAAAAATATGTAATTTGATTTCAAATACACTCTTATAAACTGATGACCAAGTCAGTTTTAGCAAATAATGACAGTCAACAAGTAGCTTTTGGTGGGTTAAACAAGCTTGTAAATAAACAAGTACACTGTAACCAAAGCATTGCCTTTTGTAGGTAAACATATAAGAATAAAAATTATAATCAATGATAAAATAATGGGACAAGCGACAATTTTATTTGGATTACAGTGTCAGCAGGATGGAAAGATTAATACAGAGTTCATAAATTTCCAGAGTTTGGGGGCAGAAATGAGGACATGGAGGTAGCACAATACATGAAGTGCACGGTTATGGCTGTTCCTATCCTGACTGATGTAAACCTGAGTTACCAAAAGATTGGAGAGAGAAAATTGAAGCAACTAAAATGAGTGTAAATGGGGGGGGACAGGAGACCAGAAGTCAGAATGATATCAACATACGGGTTAAAGAAAGTGAAAGAAGGAAGACTTTGAGATTCTGCAATGCAAACCACCAGAAGGAGAGAAGTAGGCAGACCTAGATGAAGGTGTTTTCATAACTCATTTCCCTGATAACAGAACAGGTCCGAGAGACCTCAGCTGTGTGAATAAGGGAAAGGAGAAACTACGCTGTGGATGAAACAGAAGCATTGAGATAACCTGCAAGAAGAAGAGCGCCAGAGTCACCATTATTATTTTTTTTTTTACATGTTGCTTAACTGTTCTCTTTCTTGACAGCCATTAACATTAATGCCTGTGCTATAAAAGAAATTCCTGACAATTTATCGTGGTGGAAATTGCATTCAGAGTTTAACAACTGCTGCATGTGGGCATCGCTCAGTGCCAAGCTTTTTTCAACAGAACCATGTGGTCCACTTTTACTTCACCTGGATTGCTAATGTCTCTGTCTATTTGATTTACTAATGGGCAGTCAGCCATTTTGACTTGCAAGCCAACAGTCAATCTTAGCTATTCTTAGTTATTTAATACTGAATAGTAATTTCAAATGTATTAACTTTTTTAAATGAATATGTACCTAGCAGTTCAAGGACAGCACAATGGTAAGGAATCACTATTCCCACAGATCATGAAATCCTGTCAGTGAACTGTGATTGTTGTTTAAGTTATACACATTTAACAGAAGCCATTTTTATTAAGTGACAGCCATCACTGTCATCATTCTTAGGTCCTTCGAGCATAGGGCATTAACAAAGTGTCGCCATCTCACACGATTCTTCACGAGTTATATAATTTCTCTGCAAGGCTTCCACTCATATTGTTCTCTGTTAACTCCTCTTTAGCCTTTTCTTTTGTCCTTGTGGTTTCCACTCCACAGCTTCCTTCTCAATTGCAATTTCCTTTTGAAGAGTGGCCGATCTATTTCCATTTATGTCTGGTTATCTGTTCTTACTTATGGAGCTCAGCCCTTCTTGAGGAGAAGCCAAATCTGCAGCCACTGAAGAATTTCCCAGCATTTTATGGAACCCAAAGGTTCATTACAATATTCACAAGAGCCCTCCACTGGTCCCTATCCTGAACCAGATCAATCCAACCCATGCCATCCTATCTCTCTAAGATCCATTTTAATACTGTCCACCCACCTACACCTTGGCTTTCCCACCAATATCCTGTATGCATTCCTCTTCCCCCCATTCATGCTACATGCCCTGCCAACCTCATCCTCCTTATCTGTTCAGTTACTTTTATTTCATTTCTCTGTTTCCATAGTTCATCATTTGTTATAACTGGCCATCTCATCTCTAATATACTATGGAGGCATTGATTTACAAAACTTTTTAAATGTTTTACATATATCATGGATGACTTGCCATGTCTCACATCCATGATCGCAGCACTGGGCTCAGTACTTGAAAATGTTCACAATCTCATATCAAATATTTAATTCATATATACAAGGTCCTTTAAAAAGCAGGGTCCAAGGGACCCAGAAAATTTCAACATAAGCTGATGCAGCAGAGGGTTAATGTAAGTACAAAAAGAAAAAATCTTTATTATGATGGATTTGAGGTTACAACCCAGAAGATCATACTCTTCATTTTGTCTTATTTACAAAGAGGTACCAATACTCAGAAGTCACAAGGCAATAATGGTAAAATAAAAGTAAAGGTAAGGTAAAGTTGTCCCTGTGCTTAACTAATTAAGCACTAAGCCGTGAAGGCATATGGGGGAATTATGTATAGATCCACATTTTCTTGACCTCAGCACTAGCTGAAGGTGAGTGGTCAGCTTCATGCCCCAGGGAAAGAGCCCTCGGTACCCATTGGATAGGAAGTTGGGCGGATCCTAGTGCCGGCCTGGATGACGTGTAGTAGAGAAAATTCTTGGCCCCACCGAGACTTGAACTCTGACCCCTTGGTCGTCCAGCCAGTGACTAGTCACTATACCGACTGTGCTAGCCTGGCTCCTAGTTTATTCTGTCTAAAAAAAAATATGGTAAAAAAACTTAAAGCTATCCCTGTAACAGGCCATGGAGGCCCATAGGATTGTGAGACGTTAAGGGTCCCACATTATCTAGACAATCAGCTCACAGTTGGCGGTGAGGTTGTCAGCCTTACGCACCTCCCGCCCTTTACCCCCAAGAAGATTCCTGGTACTCATTTCTGTTAGAGACTGAGTTGACTCCCAGGGCGATAGTGTAGCTGAAAGGTTTAGGTCAATTGAAGAAAATCTACTTTGAGACTCGAACTTGCGAACTTCCCGCTTGTAGCATGTACCTCCATCAACTACGTTACCATGATGATACTTCTATAATCTCTTGACAAAAACATTGACCTTTAATATATCTTAACAGGTAACACAATGTGCTGTGTATCAAACATCATTTTCTCATTTCTTGGTTGCAGTCCCCTTATTTAATTTTTGTCATTAAAAAAAGTGGATATGATACAACTCACGATCATATTTCACCAGGAAAATATGAAGTATTTTCTTCAAGGAAAAGTCAGGCTAACAAAATGATTAGGAGGCAAACCTAAACTGCTGTTGGCCTAGTTATATTTCCAATACATTTCTCTGACAGGAGAATTATTTACACAAACGCATATTATATTACTTTTGGGCTTCTGTCATTTTTAATTTGTTAGTAGTAACACAGTTGTTCATATGAATCACATTTATTTCAAGAGAGAGCATGCTTTAATTTTCTTTTGAAAAATCAGGCAGTGATGAAAAGTTGCAAATTATATAAAAAAAGTGCCTTTGACAGATAACTTTGGAAACGCATCACTAAAAAACTGTACTTAGTGAATTCCTCACTGTACATGGTGTAGTTTCAAACAATAAATATTATTTAACTTAAAAATTTTACTTTGATACAGGTGGTGAATGCACTTAAAATATGGTAACAATACACAGTGGTTTCTAACACATAATATATACTACAAATATAATGAGATTTTGCAAATACAATTATGTATTACATAATATTACATATTTATATCGAAATGACAGCAGTTAACCTCTGTAGTTTATTATATCTCAGTCTTTAATTCCCACTGATACACGAGTCTATATTATATGGTGAATAGAAAACAAGTTCCCTTCTACTGCCAAATATTTTTTATTGGCTTTTCACTTCTCGAAATGTAGTTAGTTAAAGAAATAGCACTACAAGCCCAAAGCCTATTGCAGTACCAACATAAGGATTAATTTTGATATATTATCCATTTATTCAACAATGCCTTAAATTATTCAAATTATGTACCGTCAACATAAGAATCAAACATATGATTATATACTACAGTAACACAATGCCACCTTTCCTTCGCAGGTGCCAAGAACGTTTTTAAGCAGAAAGCAAACTCGTTGAACGTCGACAAGTTGACACGATCATATTTTCTGTAGAGCATTCTCCAGCACGTCAGTTCTAGGAAAACTGTCTATGCAAGTAATTTCATAAGCATATAGCAGTTATTAAAACTTAACCAATTTCATAAGCATATAGCAGTTATTAAAACTTAACCTATCTTTCACTATCTCCGTTTATGACTAATATTATTCACGTGAAATCCACAACTTACAGACATTTCCTTTAGAAAGAGAGGCGTGATTGGAAATTATTGTCATTAACCGCTTACAAACTTCGAACTTTCATTAAGAGACCTCAACCTATTTGACCTATTTGTTATCTTTTCCGTGCCCATCGGAATTCACACTTAAGCTGTATTTTGACATTTAACTTTCAACATTGTCCCCAACACCAGCTACTGAGAAGGTTCGAAACTAAAATTTCGATTTTTCAGCCATCTATGAGTAATGTCACTGAAATATGTTGAGGGAACTAAAACCTCTCCGTCGTACTTCCTGCGCCGGCCGCAGGACAGCACATGTGTCCGCAGACCTGCATGAGCTGCATGAGGCGCGCGAGCGCGAATAAGGAAGCAATTTTTTGGTGTCATTATTATAGCATTCCAGCTGTCGTGTTATTTCTAACATCGGCGTAATTTTTACTTTATTGGCCATACGACACAGAGTATATAGCACCAAAGTAGTTTTATATTTGATACTTACCCCTGGTTTAACAATGGTAATGCGATATTACTATAGTGGGTTTGAATATATAATTTTGGTGGTTTGACAGTACGTAATAGATTCCGTGCTTTCTAGGTATGATATTCAGGGAACGTTGAATGTTGTGCATTCCCGCAATTTCAGTCACAAATATGTGTTTTGTCGAAGTTCGTAATAGTAGTAATAGTAGCATGAGCAGGCTGACACTGTAGGTTCTCGGCACTGAAAGCGTCGTTAATTCTAATAAAAAAGCAGCAGCTGCAGAAATTTGTAAGGTCAAATATATTAATAACAGTGAGCATGTACCATGAGAAAATCGTCAGTATAAAGTAATGGGTTAATATTATGAAAACAAATTATGAAACAAAACAAAGTAATGGGTTAAAATTACTCATTTAAATCTTGATACTGGTAGTTAATTGTTCATGCCTTCTTAAATATTAGAATGTGCTAAGCAATCTGAGAAATTGATGAATTGTTGCCAACATTTGGGTACTGATCTAAGTTTATATAAGAACATGGCTACTTCCCTCTCCAGTTAACATGTTAAAGCCAGGATGATAGGTGTTTCACTTTGCCAGTATACACCAGCGAAATTTGGAACTGAGGGAAATTGTCATTGTATTGATCGATTAGGTTAGTATGGGAATGTGGTTTTGTTTAGTGCGTTTACATTATTAGGGTTTATGTCACTGACTTTTTCATTGATTAGTACTGTCAGTCTCATGTCATGTGTAATGGTGAAGTTCATAGTTACCAGTTAATTAGGTTTTGGGATAGTTCTGTGCCTAGTTTCTTCCCTTGTACTGGTATATCATAACTGGGGGATGGATGCTTTAATGCTTTATAATGTTTTAACCCAAGAAGGGGATGAGGCAGTTCACATAAAATAAAATATATTATTATTAGTCTGACTTTTGTTATAATTTTATTTTTAGGACCAGATTTATTATATAGTTCATTTTTGTTTGTCCTGTCATTAGGAAGCTGTGCGTATAAACTCCAAACATAATAGTTTCATTGCAGAAGTGTAAGGTGAGTTTTAATGCTCATGAGGACATGTGAGGCATACATGTATGCACACATGCCCCAAGGCATGTTCTGGGAAGAAAAAACCAATTTTATTACTTATTGCATATCAAACAGATATAATTAAAAAACTATAACATTTGAGACCTCAGTGGAGTACCTCAATTTATTAGTGTTAAGTTGTATAAGGTAAATGTATTAACGTTAGTTTTAAAATGTGACAGTTTCTATATAGATCTGTTTGCTAATTTGGTTATTTATTTGTGTGTCTTTATAGGCAGAGAAACCAGCAATGTTGTGTAATAATGCAGCATTTGACAGTTTAAAATCATCAGATTTTGCTGAAGATGATCAGGCATTTGTGAACACCATTCTTAATGGTAGTTTTGCTATAAGTCCAGATATTATACAGTCACTAAGGAAGATTTTGGAGAAGACTACTCTAGCTTCAGTAAGTATCTCTATCTTTAGTACCTTCATGGCATGATGCCACAAGAATTCCTTCATTTCTGTTGCTCTGTGCTGACAAAAGCTGAAAAGAATGAAAAGGTGCGGATTTCACTCTTGAACACTAAGTAAATTTTGAATATAATAATACAAATGCCGTCGTGAATGCAGCAATTTATTTGGTTGTAATTCTTTGTCTTTTCTTCCTCTACACCGCATGTTTCAGCCGTAACTGGCCATCATCAGGTGTATTTTTCACTACGTAGCTGTCACACTGCACACAATCCAAAATCTAAAACACCAGCCTGTCAGTTTTGTTTAAAATCTCGCCAACATACGCTCGTCAATTTGATTTTAGAATTCCAGTTTTAAAATACACATGATGATGGCCAGTTACGGCTGAAACATGCGGTGTAGAGGAAGAAAAGACAAAGAACTACAACCAAATAAATTGTTGCATTCACAACGGCATTTGTATTATTACATATAGAAGTGTATAGTGCAACAGGATACTTAAATATTATGTAGTAAATTTTTAACATGATGCAGCACCTAAGTTTTATAAATAGCTCATGATTAGAATGTAACATTTTCAGTACTAATACAGAGAAAGTATAAATGGAATGTGTAAAGCTCCTAAATTTACATTATTGGCAATATATTCAGAATTTAATTACATATTCTTGTAAGGTTTTTTCATTACATCCCCTCTCCATTTAATGTGTGCTGCTCTCTATTCCACCAAAATGCACAGTAAATGAAAGGCGCTTGTCTGAAACCAGTTTTGTCTTACTTTGCATGAGTTGTTGATAAATAACAAATGCTTACTTATGGACTTTAGGTTTGTAGAATACATATCAATACGAATTCATTTAGTTTTGCCTTTGTAATTGCTTTTATCTTTTTTGCCTTACAGAATTCTGTTGTTGGTGTGAAAGGTGTTACTTGTGTTATGAACTGTCTGCTCCACATTTGTGAAGAGGATGTAAGTCTGTTTTATTACATTTTCAACATTCTAATTTGGTTCTAAATAATGAATACTGATGGAAAATGTTTTAATTGATAGACTGAAGTTAGCAGCCAGAAAATTTTAATGAGGTAGTAGGAGGTATAAAAATGGGGTGAGTACACATTAATATACCTAATCTCAGTTCCTAGTTCTGGCTTCCCACAGGCATACATTTTGACCAACATTTAAAGAACGTTCAGAATGTTGACAAATGTAGAGTAAAATATGAGTTTAGGAACTTGTATTTGAAGGATGATTTCTATGTTTCTTTCTAGTACTTCAGCAGTTCAACAGATCTTCATATTTGGTGTATATATCTGTTTATATCCTCTAATTCCAACGGTTTAAGGATTACATATATTTTCCACAAAGACAATTATGTTGTAAGTTGTTGTAATAATGATATTAAATTTGGTTCATATACATAGAGTATGACCTAAAATAGTATCACATATGTCAGCTGTGCCATGAGGGGAGCAGTAAGTCATCTGTCATATATGCAGTTATGCATGATTAGAGTAATAAACACATAAAATCACTCGCATAGTTTCAAATGAATATAGTAAGTTGAAGGGAACAGAAAGGAACACAAATGATGTAGGCAAAGTTTATTAAATCAGAAGTTGGAGCAATGCTGCCCACTCTACATGCATAAGGAACTAATCAGAACTACATTGCCAGTTTTGCTTATGTCTGTCTTCAGTATGAAAATGACTGCTGTAATTCACTTAGTGGGGGGTTGAGTCCAGCTGGGTCCACCTGGCATGGCAGCCACTGATTGGCCTATTGTACCTGCTCCGGGTGATTATGATGATGGAAAATTTGATGGAATGAAGATTGGCAGGGGATACCGAAGTACTCGGAAAAAACTAGCCCCAGTGCCATTTTGTCCACCACAAATCCCATTTGATCGAACCCGGAGTGCCACGGTGTGAATGACTGCTGTAAGTGATAATAGGAATAATCTCATAGATTCTGACCTTGGGCAGTGTGAATATACATATAGATGACAGCTTTTTCCATCAAAGAACTTTATAAACATGTATTTTTACCAGAATGAATGACCATTTCCTGTATGAATAGCAGAGAATTAAAGAGGCATGCATAATTGATTGTAATAAATGTTTCTTGTTTTAGAATCGCTGTAATTGGGAAGATCTGCATTTTGAGTTTGTGAAGTTGCTGAGACTTTGTTTAAATTTTATTGCTGCTGTAACCAGCAGTAGTGATATATATCAGCCTTTGTCCTCCAACATTATGAATTTGATAAGTGTAAGTGTTCTTTATTTTTATTGAAATTACTGCATAAAGTAATGATTTATGGATTTGTCATAGGTAGTAGACACATATTGCAAAGTCTCTGCCATACCAGGAAGCATTACTGGAAAATTTGTTTTCCAGAAATCTTTGCTGTCATCACATTTCTCTGAATGTCCTCAGGTGGTTTAAAATTGGACCCTTTCAAGATGTTTAATGTCAGAAACATGAAGTCACATAGAACCAGATTAGATCAGTTCAATGGATATTCCCAAATTTGTATTTGATTTCTGGCCAAAAATACATAATTTTTCATTACAGTACATTGAAAATGGCCATTAGTTACCTTTATCAAAAGATAAAGAGTATCCTCTAAGTTGCTGGCTGAGAAATGTGTGTGCTTTTGCTAGAAGCGCAGGTTTGTATGGAACTGAAAAAGACATGCTGAAAATATGTTATAAAATGGCATGTATGTGGTCTGAAAATAAAGTTTGTGAACTCATCGCAGTAAAAGTGCTACATACCTCATTGGTGAATATCACTGTGGTTGCCTTCAAAGTACTCCCCTTGGGAAGCTATGCACCAATGCCAACACCTAGTCCACCCTTCAGAACAATTTTGGAACTGATTTCATGGAATGGCCTTCAGAGCTGCATGGCGTATTACTCCTGATGTCATCACTGTCACAGTGTCATCAAAATGCCTTACTTTCAGTATTTCCTTTATCTTTTGGATCAGAAAAAAGTCATTGGGAGCTAGATCTGGTGAATAAAGAGGATGTTCCAACACAGTTATTTGTTTACTAATTAAATCTCCCTCACATTCAGTGTCATGTGAGCAGGTCCTTTGGGATCATTTTTGCACACACCTTCCTCATGTCTGCACACAATCTTCAGTTAAGATTTTCCTGTTTCTCTGTTGATATCCGCTTGCTCTGCTATGCTCCTGACAGTCAGCTGATGATTATCATGCACAATTTGATGAACTTTTGCAATGTTTTCGTCACTTCTGCTCGTTGCTGGGCTCCTGATCTCTCTTCATCAGTGAGACTTTCTCTTCTCTTAGAAAAACGTGTCACCCACTTTTAAACTGCTGTTTTCTTCCTAACAGGATCCCTGTAAACTTGCACTAACATATCTCTGATTTTGCTTCCACTCTTGCCAAGTTTAACAGGAAATTTAATGTTCATTCCAACATTCTTGTCCCAGCACACCAAAACACACAGACAATAATAGACACCACTCAGAAAGAGACTTCCATAGAACAACAACATAACTGTGAACCCCTGATATGCCAATGTCATGAAACCATACTGAGGTTTCTGTTCACTGCTGCCATGGCAAGCACATGGTGGTGAGTTTGCGAACTTTATTGTCAGACCTCGTATATCAGATGGGCTATGCAGATGGTAGGTGTTGTCCCAACAGTTACACTTGTGAATTAGCAACAGATAGTAACTGAGGTTGAGTTGTTTGTCAGAAAAGAAACTAAATGCATTCATGTATGTTGTGCCTAGAGGTTTTAAATGTTCAGAAATGTGTCAGATATACCTGAAGTGTGTTGAAGAATCACTGTGAAGAATTGTAATGGAGCGTGTAGTATTGTTATAGCTAGCTTGTATTTATTTTTATTTCCTTATTGGTGGTTTGTAACCAATCATTTTTTTTAGAAATTTACGTGATTATTAACATGTTATTAATACAGAAGGGGTCACACGGTAGCGTAGTTGGTTGGGGCACTAAGCTACAAGCCGGAAGGTCGTGGGATTGAATCTCGATGAGGTCATTGGATTTTTTCAATTTACCTAATCCTTTCAGCCACACTATGGCCCTGGGGTCTGCTCAGCCTCTAACAGAAATTAGTACCAGGAATATTCTTGGAATGTTCTTGGGGCTAAAGGGCAGCCAGTGCATAAGGCTGACAACCTCACTGCCATCTCTGAGCCGATTGTTTAGAAAATATGGGAACGTCAACATCTCACAACCCTATGGGCCTCCATGGCCTGTTACAGGGATAGCTTTATTTTTTTACCTTTTGTATTTTATTTTCANTTTTGTCAGGCAACTTACTATGCAATTCTATCCCCATATTTACCACACTCTTTTTAAATAATGTAGTTCTACAGAACTGAACATGAAAATCCTTGTTTATTCTTGTATTATAACTATGAATATTTATATTCTGGATCAAATCTGCTTTGTGCTTTTTTATGTAACACAACACCTCTAAGATATACAACGAAGTAACCGTAAGGATGCCATAATCTTTAAAAATTTGCCTGCATGAGTCTCGTTTACCAAGTCCACTAATTATTCGCAGCACCCTCTTCTGCATTCTAAATACCTTTATACTATCACCTTCACACCCCCAAAATATTATGCCATATCTCAATAATGATTGAAACTTTGCAAAATAAATGCTTCTTAACATATTTGGACTCAAAACTCCTCTTAGTGATTTAATTATGTAGGATGTTTTACTAAGTTTTGAACATAATGACTGGATGTGGGTACTCCATTTAAGGTTTTCTGTAATATCTATACCTAAAAATCTCAGTTCTGATGAATAAGCAATTTCCAAGTTGTTATAACATACCCGTGGTCTAACTACAAACCTACATTTACTAAGATGGAATGACATAGCAACTGTTTTTTTAATATTTATTAAGAGGTTATTTACCTGAAACCATGTTTCGAGCTATTTCATGATCTTATTTATTTTCTGTTGCGCTATGCCTTCCTCTTTATCAATAACAATAACTTTATTAATACAAAATAAATTATTTTCTGCTTGTTATTTGTACATTGTGTCTGATGAGAATGCTCGTGTTTTCTCCTATTAATGATACATATTGCATAAAGTCTAGTTTTCGTAATGTTACAGAAAATATAGTGAGATATGTTAATTGTACGTGGTTATCAGGAAACTGGATTTTTTGACATCACACCATGCTGTCAACAACATGAGCATGATTACTTTGAGAACTAAGGGGGAGCAACAGTAAGGCAATTTTATATGGACGTTTTGTGTAAGACTGGATTCTGAAAAAATACCAACTTTTTTTAAGAATGGTAGTATGGTAAATTGAAAACAGCAAGATAGCATACACAGAAAATCCATGTTTATATTTTCATTACATGCCAGTTTCTTATGAAACATGTATGTAGCTGTGATGGAGAATTTTGTAAATTAATAGGTTATAAATATATTTAAAACCATGTACAGAATTTCTTGCTTGTACTGAAAATGTTTATTTGCAATGGCACAGGCCTGTCTACTGTCAGGTACTGAAAATCGATAGAGGCAGAGGCTTTGCATGGAGGTATTTCACTGAGTTGCTTTATTGCCATATTAGTCCATACTTAATGCTGCTCCAAATGTAATGAGCACCCCAGTTTTGAAAGCTTAAATTGAATAAGAAACAAATGCTGCACACAATTTTTGCAAAATTAATTGGTAAGGTAAAAGGTAAAGCTGTCCTTGTAACATGCCGTGGAGGCCCATAGGGTTGTGAAATGTGAAGGCTCCCACATTTTCTAGACAGTCGGCTTACAGATGGTGGTGAGGTTGTCTGTCATATGCGCTGGCCGCCCTTTAGCCCCAGGAAGATTCTTGGTACGCATTTCCGTTCGAGTCTGTGTTGGCCACAGGACCATAATGCAACTGGAAGTACTAGGTCAGTTGAAAAATCTAGTTACCTCTCTGCGAATCGAAGCAGTATCCTTCCTGCTTGTAGCATAATGAAAATTAATTGAGTAGTTTCTAAGTATGCCAAACAGCTGTCAGTTTTAAGAGTACTATCTTCTGGGATATAACACTGTAGTCCGTTGAAAGTCAATTGAAGTTTCAGAGGAGCATATCACATCCATCCTTCAGATGCATAACCACTGCTGTGAGAGCCTCAAATCCTACAAATATCAGTTTATTAAAGCAGGTCTGAAAATCTTTCTTTGAATTTATTTTAATTATGTGAATTTGAACATGTTAGAATGTAATGTGCATTCAGTTTTGCAGGAGCAGTTTGTAAGAAAAGAGTGCGTTCAATTAAACAGGATCATTTTTAAGTTCCAAAATCTGCTCTCTACTGAGAAAATTATGTAGTGGAAAGTAGGTATAATTAGTGCCTCCTTTGACTGGTTGTGCTCTATGTGTTTTGTATATGGCAGATTTCCTCTGAGAAGCACACTCTTGTGAAGAACTCAATAGTGAAGGTACTCTCACGGCCTGTAATAGGTCTTGTACTAAGCAAGAATATTTCTGTACTTGAACGCAGAAATGTTACAAAATCATTTAATCACATACTCTCTCAGTCAAGCCGATTCATAAGGGAAGAGACTGTGGAAGTTATTCATGGTCAGCTGTAAGTACTTTGTTCAGCCTCAATATATTCATATTAGTGATAGTGGTAGATGATGTAATAAATAAATATGAGACACCTTTTTATTTGTTACATAAATTATCTAATGAGGTTTTATTAGATGTGTCATGTGTGCTGTAGTCAAAACACTGTTATACTACATGGAGTAAAGTCGTTCTTGAGAATCTGATTGTCACTTAGCTGGTCAAGAAATTGCCTGTCTTTTATGGGACCCAGTGTTTTATTATTGTCCTCATAAGAGTTTGTCCTGAGGCAGATGAATCTAGTTCCCACCCTTATCCCATGTTTTTGTAACATGTAGTTCAACACTTTCACACCATCTGTGCATGGGTCCCTGAAGTAGTATCATCTCTTAAGTTGTTCAGACTAAAATTCTGTACTCACTTCTCATCTTCCAATGTGTGCTAAATTTTCTGCCTATCTCATTATTGTTCATTTGACCATTCTTATATTTTTTAATTGTGCAAATTACGAGGCTCATTGTTATGAAATTTCACGATCATCATGTTACTTCATATCTCATAGGTATGTATGATCTCAAACAGTTAAAGTACTCGTATAGGCTGAGAGGGAAAGTTTCCTGTCTGGGGGGAATTCAGATTTTGTTACCAAAGAGTATATTTTAGGCAGTCTTGAATGCAAAATGTATCAGACCCCATGTCTGCATATATCTGGTATTTATATTTATAGAGTAGATGGATGAGAATAATCAGACTGTGGTCTGTGGACATCCATAACTCTTCAGACAAACTTAATTACCTCACAAAGGGTTTTCATATATCAAGAATTTCCATAAAAGCTTAAGTTAACACTACTAAAGAAGTCTAAAATGGGACCCAGTTTTAAAAATATTTTCAGTACTACCTTAAATCATTTACACTTTGACTTCGGCGGCTGTGTAGTTCCCTTATATAGTTGCAGTGTCTGCCTGTTACGTAGCAACGCTGTTGGGAGTTGTTTACGGGTATGTAGCAATTGCAGCGTTGTGTGTTCCGTCACCGCGGAGAGAGGGGCGGGGTGTTAACTTGCCTAGTACCATAGTAACGACAGTGCTACGATGCCGCCACGTACCGCTGGGGGGGGGGGGGTGCCCTCCATTGTGCAACATGTCACAATATTATAAATAATTATGCTATGTAAAACATTTACTATTCTAGTGACAATATTGTAGGTATGCAGAAAGCATGTTGGGGTTATGGTAGCTGTAGGCTTGTATTCAGGAGCTACCCAGCTTGAATCAGCTTCACTTGTGTGTGTCTTTTCACCCTCATGAGGCCATACTAATGTAGTACCTTGAAATAAGTCATGACCACCACTTTTCAAATCCTGACCTATCAGCATCACTGTCACCTTAACCTTTAATGTCTGAAGTGCCCCAATCGGCCAGTGTTGAGTATGGTCGTCGTGGCCAAAGTACCCTGTTTTGGCCAGTCTGGCATTTAAACTCCGCTAGTAGAAGCGCATGCACAGTCCTTAGTATTTATTTCTATATGTAGTAATTACAAGACAGACATGAGTAAACCCTAATAGAGGAATTAAAATGATACCTAAGTGAACAACAGCAAAAAAGACTATACGTATGAATTATGCCCAAACTTATTCACGAGCCAGTACTTTTATTGCAGATTCTGCAGATTAATGTGTTAAAAATATATAGTAAAATGTGGTGTGCATACCTCTTTTGTTGTTATCTGCTTGATGTATATATAGGTTGAAATGAAACTACAGTATTCAATTTTACTATGAACGCA